TGCTCATACAGAACGAGAAGCTAACTAGAATATCAAAATTGAAGGTTGTTACATTTTCGATGATATAGTTAGAGTTCACCCTAAGGTCACACATTTTTTTTTTCTTTTTTATTTAACGGGCCCGCCGATATTTATTTCCAGGAAAATGAAAAAAGTGAAAATCCCGAATCATTTTTATTCTAATTTCCCGCCGATATTGTGACATCCACGAAAGAAAGAGCAAAAAATAAATGCAAATCAATCTGTCTATGATTCGTTGTGTATGGTATCGTTTCTCCCGTCATCAAAACAAAAATGTAATTGGCGGAAATCCCTTACTCTCATGTGTTATGCCATGTCTATTGTCTATCGTGAATATTTTTTATTTTTATTTCCAAAATAACAAATTCTGGTTGAAAGAATTCTTTGTCTGTTTTGATTCAACTCCTCGAAGACTTCTAGTAAGACAGAATTGTACTTCCTCCAGGTGGGCTGGAACTGAGACATTCCTTTACTTCTGATCTCTGGAAGGGAGGAGGTACACTTCTTATTTTGGAACTGGGGATTTTTTTCCCTCCCGCCGACATTTCATTATCACCAGACGCCCGCTATTCAAGAAAAAACATTGCTGTGGCCTCATATACCTTATCAAGCTATGGCTATACCGCTGTGCAATTGAAATGCATCGTATCTAGTCGCTTATTCAGAAACTGGATTAACAGCAAGACAAAAGTTCATGTGGGCCGGAAGTGCTTCTCTAGTAAAGAGGGGCTCTAAAGGTCCCTCCTATAGGAGGGCGTACACTTCTTAGAAATAGTCACAGTAAAAAGTGTTTTAGGAAAAGTTTTCTCATGATTCATTATTAAAATCTAGAGTCTGTTATTACAGTAAGAATCAGTAATGATTATGATATTATAATGATGTTCATACATTACTAGCTTTTTCTATTCACTATTTCCTCCTTATCCAGGAAGTTGAAAAAAAACGTAAAATTTAAATTCAAATTCAGTCTTCCTTACACTGAAAATATAATGCCTGGAATTTCGACAAATTGTCCGGAGTTATCTTATTAGAAAACATTTTGCTACACATGGATGCCAGCAGACCAAGAGTATCCATACAACGCGAGCTTAGGGTGCCATCGCTGAGAACTTGGGAACCTCTGCTCTGCCGTCTTGGTCCAAAGTCCAATCTGGTGAATGGAACTTCGGTTCAAGCTTTTTCGAGTGACTTCAAATATTGGCGAGAGCTGTGGCAAGAAATTTAAAGCACAACCCAGCTGTGAGTTCTGACGTTCAATTCGATTGATTTATTGGGAGTGAATCTGGTCGTGAGGGGAAGCAAAATGTCTGTGACTTCCTGTTTCGTTTCTCAAATGTTGAAATTTGATATTGGTAGATTTGTTTCATCTGGTTTTATGCACATATTAACTTTATTTACCAACTCTATTTTACTATTAATTTTATACACCAATTTTCTCTTCATATTGAATCTCTCTTGGGTAATTTCAGTGGCTTCGTTCTGTCTATAATATCTTGGAAAATAAAAGGAAATTGTCTATTAACGAACCTGATATCGACAACTGACACAACACTTAATAATTTAATTCAACCCCATGACTGCAAATCATATTATCCATATCCATTACGAACGATAGCGGATGTGAAGTACAACTGATTTGTATTTTCATCACTTTCTTTCTACCTACCTCATTATTGTGTAAAAGTTACCGTATTATCCCTAATACCAAACGATTATGCAAACCTGAAAAAGACGGACATACTGTGCTTCTATTACAACAAAAACGCTGTCGAGTTTCCGCCTCTTGCCTCGTCTCACTGATGCAGAAATTAATTAGTGGTAATTTCCTCACAATATTCCTCGTTTGGTATCAGTAGATTTTTTCACGTGGCTCCATTGTCAGTCTTTAGTATTAGACGAGGTCAGAGAGTTCTCAAGCGCTGGCAGAGAGGCGTGAATGATTCTCCATTATGGTGTTGCCACTTGCTGTTCCTTAGTTTTTCTCAATGTCTGTATCTGTTTTTGCGTTTGTTTCTTCTTGTTTCTGCATTCTTTATCCACTGCATGTCTTTCCCCTCCTCTTAAATCTGCGTCTTTCAGACTATCTGCATCTGTCCTCGAAGTGTCTGTCTGTCTGTCTCTCCTCCCCCTTCCTTCCCCTAATCTCGGCCTAGCCCTTCTTGCTTCCTCCCACACCGCTCTCGCCTTATATAATCTCACAGCATCGTCCTAAGCCTACCCTCTCTCTCTCTCTCTTCTCTTCTCTCCGTCTCCTCTCCCTTCCCAGCTAATCTCTTCCTCTCTCATCTCTCTTCTCCTCTCTCTCTCGCTCTCTCTCATCTCCTCCTACCGTTCATCCTTCTCTCTCACAGGTTCTTCCCTCCTCTCTTCACCAGCTCTCTCTCTCGTCGTGTCCCTATTCTTCTCTCTCATCTCCATCTTCTCTCTCTCATCCTCTCTATCTCCTCTCTCTCCTCTCTCTCTCTCATCTCTCCTCTCCCCCATCCCACCTTCCTCCCGCCATCTCTCTCTCTCTCTCCTTCTCTCTACATTCTTCTCTCTCCATCTGCTCTCTCAATTCTCTCTCGCTCTTTCCTCGTCTTCTCGTCTCCACTAGTTTCTACATCCATTTGTATGTGCTCGTTTTATCTTCTCCCTTTCCATTCTTCCAATCATATCATTGTATCTCTTTTCCACAATCTACATTTTCCGTGTTCTCTATCTCTCTCCCTATCTCCCTCCCTCTCTTCTCTCTTCTCTTATTCCGTCATATACCACGGTGCATCCCATATTACTAGCCACTGAACACACAACGCATAAAAAAAAAAAAAGCTCTGAGAAGAATAACAATGAAAACAAAAAAACTTGAAGCACTCATAGAGCGCATACCTCCGTCAAGGCAATAGGCTCACTGATGCAATAAAAAATATTCATAGGATGATTTACATTAAAATCTGGTTCCCAATCGTAACCTAACCTAACTAAACCAAACGAACCCAACCTAACCTAGTCTACCTAACTTCACCAACCTAATCTAACCTAACCTAACCAACCTAACTTAACCTTACCAGCCTAATCTTCGGTAGTACTCAGCTGCGTATGACAATCTTGATCTCTATTCGAGAAAGTGCTCCGGTTGTCCATCTTTGCAGAAAGATTTCCTGGATGAGAGAGAGCTGGGAAGGGAGGGGAAGGAGAGAGAGAGTGAGAGAGAGAGAGAGAAACAGATCCGTTTCCATAAGATGATTTTCGAGCTAAGCGGTACAGATTTTTTTCCGTTTCTATAACCACTTCGAAAAACGTAACCTTCTTGGCAGAGGTAAAAATAATTGAATAATAATAATGCAGGAGTGAAAGAGTGAGACAGTAGAGTAATATGAAATGTATATGATAACCCTCCCAAAGGAGAAGCTGTAACTATGATAATAATCAAGTGCACTGTGGGATAATAATGTGACAAAAACAATGAGAAGGAAAAAGAATAAAAAAAGGAAGGAAATAAGAAGCAGAAGAGAAGTTATTAATCTACAGAAGAAAAAAGAATAGTAATAATTATACAAAAATAACGGTGTTTATAACAAACTACAACCATTTGTATCATAACATGTATCAGGAACAATAATTTTCATCAACACTGGAATGCAACATAAATAATACCAAAAACTTTATTAATAAGAATAATAACAATAATAATAGTAAAATTGAGAGCATATAAACTGATCAGTATTATTATAATGGCAATAATAATGAAAATCAATGAGTAGTGGCGAAATTAAAACTGGGTACATTTTTTTTATCCAAGAAAATGAAATGAAAATAAGTTTTATCTACATCAATATATCCTGCTTGTTTTATCTAAGCATTTTCAATATTTTTTACTTTGTATTTCCTTTAATAAGAGACCAAAACAGTAAGAGTTAAATAAGAAATAATAGTAAATGAAACACTTTATAGATTTTTGTTTTTATTAAGTTGATTTACATAATAAAACCTTGAAATTTACATTCTTTAAATATCATTATTTACAATTATTTCACAAAAACTTGTTTCTTCATATACCATACTCTTTACACTTATTCACTAATTCATCAGTTTATCTGCCCATCCTTTTTTTCATTTATTTCTTTACTTTTCCTTCTTAACCTCTTTTGCATCTGTGCCCACAGATGTTGATAGGGGTTTTCGCGTTCCGATGGGGTGTAAGGTATTCTGCACATTCGCCTTAGTCCTGGGTGCATGAGAGCCAGGTTTTGTGCTACACCACAAGCACTTGATGTTACCCAGTACAGGATAACACACTGTGGAGAGAAGGTGGTAAGGAAAAATGATAATTGATAATGATAATGATGTGGAGGAGGAGGAGGAAGAGGGAGAGGAAAAAGATTAATTATACTAATACTAATAATATGAGGATGAGGATGAGGATGATGAGAAGGGGATAGGATTGGTCATGAGAAGTGATGACAAAGGAAAGGTGAATAAAAAAAATGTAATGTTGAAAAGACTAAGGAAAATACATACTTTCACAAGGGGGGATGTGAAATTGATACTTTGATAACTAATTCAAACAAGACAGCTAATTTTATTTTGTAAAGTCTGGTGAGGATGAGTGTGTAATGGTACAATCTGCTCCACAACTGGGCGATTGTCCAGATTCAATTGGGCATACAACCTCATCCCAACAATCAGGATATGATGAGGTGTCACCTGGTGTCTGGTACAATTCACCATGATATGACGGGACATTGGCCTTTACTAATGGGTAACATTTTCTGTACCTATTCTACATTTTCCCTTCTTATTTCACAAAATATTTACCACCTCCATGATGTGTGCTTTAAGTTATATTTGATAATATACCAATTTCATAATCAAAGGGCAAACTAGAATTTTCTTTTGTAACAACAAGCTCTAATAATGTACAAAGTCATACCGAAGGCACAGTTGCTGCGATGGGTATGATGATGATGCTGACAGAGCGAAAGAGATTGGTTGCAAATTTCTGTAGCTTTGAACCCTCCTGGAGTCTGTTTAAAACATTAATCTATAAAGAGGGGAAATAACATATGAGATTTTTTTTTATCAATATAACTGTACTAACCTGTAATAAAAAGATAAATATGAATGATAATTGAAGTTGCCAAATAATTCCTACCTAAAAGTGTATTCAATTTACATTGTCAAGTCTTAACAAAACCTTAAATTCCTGTAAAATGTATTCTAACCTTCTGACCATGGCAACAATCTAAAGTAGCAAAAAAATGAAACATGATAACTGCTGCTGCTTTTCATGTTGGGAATAATGGTAAAAACTCTGACTGTAACAATGCTACAAAAAAAAACAATTTCATATAAAAATGTGGTTATACTTATAAAATATATCTACTTTTGAATCTAGAACAACTATAATTACTCACAATTCACTAAAATATTTTAGAATGTAGATCCTTAATACCTAACTTATCTTTCACAAGAATTTATTATTCTATTGTGCAAGAAAATGTGTTATGAGTATGTATATATAAGTAATAATACTCTTCTGTATTCATCTTAAGTAAAACAAAAAATACATTTTTGGTCTTATTTCAGTTTCATAAAGTATTCTTCGTTCCTTTCAGCGACCAATTACATTTTGTGATCATTTACAAGTTTTTTTAAGGTTATATATATTATGTGTGTGGTATGCCTCGAAACAGCATTTTACTGGGTTGGCAGAACAGGTTTTCTGGACTATGGACCATAGTCACTAAATAGGCTAAAGCATGAATAATATTTCTGAATTGTAACTATATTGGATACACTTTTATGTCTATCAGCTTGTGAACATGACAATAAAGGTTTATCTGACTACAAGTGTTTTACATGAGGTAGTACATTTACAGTTAATCAAACACAGTACAACTAAAAAGCTACAGTTATCTCAAGTCATTTTGCAACATACAGTAGAAGAAAAAATACAACTCAGACTTATACTGATTTCCAAAATATATTTCTCAACAGACAGAATGGCTGAATAGCAAAAGCTGTGGCTGGAATAAAATTAGTGGCCCTGTGGTTAGTCCCACTGATGACGTGCTGATTTCTCACCTTTGAAAAGTCTGACAGCACATATATGCTAATCAGTTAAGCTGAGGCAGTAAGGATATATTTTCCTTCTTATGTTTCTAATTGTTACACTGCCATTTTTTTTATGTGGAAATTATCGTGTCTCTGTTTAGATTTATGTGGCCTACCAATGAGCTGAAGCCTAAACAATCCAATAACATTTTATATTGATATATTTTCATTTTTCTATCTTGATTTGCTTATTAAAAAAAAAAAAAAAAAAAAAAAAAAAAAAAAAAAAATTCAAATAGCATTTCACATCTCTTACTTCAGCCATGGGTCATATGCACACCAACTACATCTACTATATACCTCACCTCTGTGATAGCAAGGTTGAGGAGCCCCATGGCCATGGGTAAGATGAGCGAGTGATCAACCTCTGTTAGGTTTGGGATCCAGCCGAAACCTCCTGTGCTCATCTCAAGAAAGAGGACCTGGGCAGCTGAGGGAGAGATAAATATACAACATTTTCTGCTCAACTTATTTCCTTATTCTTTGTTTTTGTTTTATCTTTCTTTTCTCTGCTTCCAAGCTACTTTTCTGCATATTTTTTTAAGTTGATTTTTTCTTAACTAGTTGGTGCTCGGCAATTCCATTTATCCACTGTAATTTGTGAATTTTGTTTACAGAAAGATGGCTCTACAAGCATTTGGTTACCAAGGAGTCAATAAGTAGGCCTCCCTGCCTCACCTGATATCCACATTCCTTGAAATTTCTCATTTTTTCAGATGCTATTAATATCATTACTGTTATTATTATTATTATCATCGATATCATTATTATTATCATTGTCCAATATAATATAATATAATGTTATCATCAATACTAAGAGCAGTAAGAATTCCTTCCTTTTCCCCTGAAAATAAAGGAGCCATCCATGTGTAAGCAAAATTAGTAGGCTATACAATGTCACAATGGTCATGGTATGTGTTTTGCCATCCCATTACCAGTGGGTTAAGTCCAGTTCCTACTAAGACTCAACACTTGTTCCCATGACACCTCTAGTCATCTGGCCTACTGTCTGGTTTTATTACAGTCATACTCTCCTGGGTTTGGTACATCTGGGATAGCTTTAAAATACTTTTAATGACATATAAATGCATTGAAACACTTCAAAAACTTCTGACTATAACAGATTACACATCCTTTTTAATTCAAGCTGAAGCCAGGTAAAGAACATTCTAAGTCTGGCTCTCTTTGTTCCCTAGATAACAAACTAAAGCTTGTATGATTTTTCATGCACACATGTTTTTTCCTTACTGAAACCATGATAGTCTGAGTCTCCTACTATTACTAATATCAAGTGCACAGTATTCATCACTCAGAATTGGTCCCATATTCATGTGGATGAAGGAGACATGCCTGTGTGACAGGGGTTCCCAACCTTGACTGCCATCATCCATAGGGGTGCTACAGGACATTTTAGGGGTGCAAAAATATGTATCTCTTTAAGCCTTTGGCATTACAGGATATATTTATGTGTGTGTGTGTGTGTTTCTTTATATATCTAATGCTGTATTTAAATGTTAGAGTGCTGTCTTTGCAATCATAAAGTCACAAATTGTTGCCTGGTCACATACCCTACATTTGACTTCGTATTATGTCAGTATTAGCACCAGGTGCTGGAAAGGAATTACCTGCCTAACCATATCATGCTGTAGAATGATATATGTTTCTTTATTTCCAAACTTCTTTTGTGTGTGTGTGTGTGTGTGTGTGTGTGTGTGTGTGTGTGTGTGTGTGTGTGTGTGTGTGTGTGTGTGTGTGTGTGTGTGTGTGTGTGTGTGTGTGTGTGTGTGTGTTCTTACCTGGTTCTTACCTAGTTGTCTGAATACAGGAGAAGAGCTATGCTCAGGTGGTCCCGTCTGCTGTATTTAAATTATCGTATAACTTTTTAAATTGATGCACAGTTTTGGCACACACTACTTGATTGGGGAGACTGTTCCACGATTCAATAATTCTGTTTGGGAAACTATATTTTTTGACATCTTTATCACCTCTTTTCACTGTCAACTTTTTGTTGTGTCCTCTTGTTCTTCTTGTGTTCAAGATCAAAAAGTCATCCTTATCTATCTTCACTCTTTCTGTAATGCAGTTGAAAAGCATATCCATGTCCCCCCTTTTCCTTCTTTCTTCCAAGGTAGAAAGTCCTAATTTCTGTAGTCTGTCTTCATAACTCAGATCTCTTAGGGTAAGTGCCCATCTTGTTGCCGCTCTTTGTACTCTTTCCAGTTTGTTAATATCTTTTTTTAAGTGTGGACTCCATACCACTGCACCGTACTCAAGACTTGATCTTATGATTGCTTTAATAATCTTCTTTACCATATCTTTGTCCACATACATGAATGCCTTCTTCATGTTGGCAATCAGTCCTAACATTTTGTGGACCTTTTCATTTATATGGTCATTTGGATTTAGGTTTCTATTTATGATTATCCCAAGATCTTTTTCCCTGTCAGCTGTGTCACTTAGGAGGTATTGGCATGAGACGTTGTCTGTTATCCTCTTTTGTATCTTTGCGTCATCTGCAAACATATTCAGATAACTACCTAGGCTTATGTTTGACTCTAAATCATTGACGAAAATAGTAAACATAATCGGTGCTAATACCGATCCTTGAGGCACTCCGCTGGTTACTCGTCGCCATGTAGAATGCTTTCCTCTAATTACTGTGCTTATTTGTCTTTCATGAAGAAAGTCTTTCATCCATGCGAGTAGGTTGCCTTTCACTCCACCAAGATGCTCTAATTTCCATAGTAGTCTTCTATGAGACACCTTATCAAAAGCCTTCTTAAAGTCTAAATACACACAATCCACCCACCCGTCTCTTTCTTGTAATATTTCAGATACTCTATCATAAAAACAGAGGAGATTTGTTACACACGACCTTCCTTCTCTAAAACCAATTTGTTTATTTGATATCATTTTGTGTTTTTCAAGCATTTCAACCCATTGTTTTCTAATTATTCTTTCAAGCAGTTTGCATACTACACTAGTTAATGAAGCTGGTCTATAATTTAGTGGGTTTTGTTTGTTGCCACTCTTATATAAGGGTGTAACATTTGCGAGTTTCCAAGTTTTTGGTAGTTTACCTTGTCTTACTGAATTTTGGAATATTAACAATAAAGGAGTACAGAGTTCTTCGGCACATTCCCTAAGAACCCAGTTAGAAATTTCATCTGGTCCCTCTACTTTGGTCTTGTCTAATCCTTTTAGTAGATCTTTTATTTTGTTCTTTTTGAGGATGATATTTTCAATGTTCTTTACATTATTACGGGTATTTGCCATATCAAAGCATGGATCCTGAACAAACACTGACTGAAATTTCTTATTTAGGATTTCACACATTTCTTCCTCCTTAGAATATATAATGTTATTGTCTTTGATGGCGCTAATTTGACTCCTACTTTTAGTTTTACTATTTATGTAGTTAAATAATAGTTTTGGTTGACTTGTACATTTGTTGATTATATCCTTTTCAAAGTCTAATTTCGCCTCTCTCATGGTTTGGGTATACTCATTTCTTCCTACTTTATATCTTTCATATGCTGCCTGACATCTATGCTTTCTGAATCTTTTCCAAAGGAGATGCTTTTTTTCCCTCATTTTCTTGCATTTGTTGTTGAACCATTTTTGGCCATTTCTTGCTTCAATTTTGAATTTGAATATGAATTTTTCCACTCCTTTTTTATAGATCTCACAAAATTTTGAATACCGAACATCAAGGTTCTCATCATCCAGAAGTGTTTCCCAGTTTATGTTATCAAAGAAATCTTTAAGGCTTCTATAATCACCTCTTTTGTAATTGTAGTTGTCCTTTCTTTCCTTGCTTACAATGAGTTTTTCCTGTAGCAGACAGTATTTTAGTCTAATCCCTACATGGTCGCTTTTTCCTAAAGGTGGACAGTACTCGATATCCTTAATATCGTCGTTATGCTTTGTAAATATTAGGTCAAACATAGACGGCCTATCTAGCCCTCTTATTCTGGTATGATCTGTTACATTCTGGAAAAGGCAATGCTCATTTATGACATCTAATAATTTAGCATTCCACGAATCTGATTGTGCTCTAGCATCGAAACTTTCCCAGTCGATTTTGCAATTAAAATCCCCTGTAATAAGAATTTCTATTGAATTGATTTCTGAAAGTTGTAGCACTTCTTCCAGGCTCTTTATTGTCTCCTGAATTAGTTTCTGGTAATTTTCTAGTGACCACACCCATGTTTGAGGTGGCATGTATACCGTGGTTATTATTATGTTTACCCCATTTATTTCTACCTCAATTACTTTCATTTCCACTATGGGGTCCTGATTAATTCCTAACTCCTTATAATAATTCCTTTTTTTGTTAATATTGGTACCCCCCCTCCATTTCCATCTGCCCTATCTTTTCTCCAAATAATATAGTCTTTGTGTGTGTGTGTGTGTGTGTGTGTGTGTGTTGTGTGTGTGTGTGTGTGTGTGTGTGTGTGTGTGTGTGTGTGTGTGTGTGTGTGTGTGTGTGTGTGTGTGTGTGTGTGTGTGTGTGTGTGTGTGTGTGTGTGTGTGTGTGTGTGTGTGTGTGTGTGTGTGTGTGTGTGTGTGTGTGTGCGTGTGTGTGTGTGTGTGTGTGTGTGTGTGTGTGTGTGTGTGTGCGTGTGTGTGTGGTGTGTGTGTGTGCGTCAGTGTGTGTGTGTGCGTCAGTGTGTGTGTGTGTGTGTGTGTGTGTGCGTGTGTGTGTGTGTGTGTGTGTGTGTGTGCGTCAGTGTGTGTGTGTGTGTGTGTGTGTGTGTGTGTGTGTGTGTGTGTGTGTGTGTGTGCAGTGTGTGTGTGTGTGTGCGTGTGTGGTGTGTGTGCGTCAGTGTGTGTGTGTGTGCGTCAGTGTGTGTGTGTGTGCGTCAGTGTGTGTGTGTGTAGTGTGTGTGTGCGTCAGTGTGTGTGTGTGCGTCAGTGTGTGTGTGTGTGCGTCAGTGTGTGTGTGAGTTGTGTGCGTCAGTGTGTGTGTGTGCGTCAGTGTGTGTGTTCAGTGTGTGTGTGTGTGTGTGTGTGTGTGTGTGTGTGTGTGTGTGTGTGTGTGTGTGTGTGTGTGTGTGTGTGTGTGTGTGTGTGTGTGTGTGTGTGTGTGTGTGTGTGTGTGTGTGTGTGTGGTGTGTGTGTGTGTGCGTCAGTGTGTGTGGTGCGTGTGTGTGTGTGTGCGTCAGTGTATATACATATGTGTATATACATATACATATACATATACATACATATATACTTACATAAATACATACATACTTACATACATATGTTACAAGCATATACACATGTGATATGTGATATGTATGTGTGTAAACACAATTGATAAACTAAAATTACTGTGGACTTGGCATGTATTTTTGCCATCAGGGACAAGTGGGTTAAGTAACAAAGTAGGCTTACATCAAAATGTGAAAGAAGATAATATACAAATAAGAAGATAGTAAATAAAAAACACAAGAACATAACCACACAAATAAGAAGCCTAAAAGACCAAAAAAGAACCCAGGTAAAAACACCACTACTGCACCTGCATCCTGGTGTGGCATCATGGAGGCCATATTGCGGAATGACACACTCATGGAGACCCACAGTGGAATCTGGACCCACAGAAGTAAGCTCGCCTTGAATGGGTGACAGTTCTCCTTGATAATCAGATCCTTCCACATTTTCTTGGCCTGAAAAGAAAGAAGGAAAAGGAAATATAAATACATAGAAATAGATTATGCTTATGCCACAGAAAGAAAAATGATTACCCACTGTTTATGGATTTATGCATTATTCACTGTAGTTTTTGGAGAATTTTGTTGTACACAGATGACTCCAGAAGTGCACAACCACCAAAGAATTAATATGTAGGCAGTATATACTGTTATTATCATTATTGCCATTATGATTAATATAATGTAATCGAAATACTAATAGCAATATAAAACAAAATGATAAGAAAGAATCTTGCCATATGTCAGGGTAAACAGGTGAAATAAGTAGGACTAATAATTGACTCCTTGGTGACCAAGCACTTGTGGAGCCAACTCTGTGTAAACAATTAACAAACTGAAAGTAAAGTGGACATGGCATGCATTCATGATATCCACAGCTATTGGGTAAATGCAATTATAGTTTCTTAAAATATAATTCTATTAATGATCATAATTAATTTCATTTTTGATTCCTACCAAAAAAAATTAATGCCAAACTCTCCCTACATATGACTGCAATTTGCTGAGCTGATGGATGACCAGATCATTTCAGAACATGACATGCTGTTGTTGCACTGGGCTGAATGTATTGAGCAACTGCATCAGGTTGTTCATATGACAGTTAGCAAGGACATGGGCTGAATGAGCACAGAACTCTTCTGACTAATATTTGGGAAGGAGAGTCCAAGCTGTGAGTGGAAGGGCTGCAGGGTTTTGCAGCTCCCAGCTGAAATAATGAAGTCAAAACAATAAAGTTGTGGCTCAAGAATGCTATCCTGTCTGCCAACAACTAGTCTGATGCCAATTCCCTGGATTGTTAAAGGGTGGTCATCCCTCCCTGAAATGGAAAAGGGGATCAATGGGACTCAATCACTGAGCCACTAACTTGCTCAACAGGCCAGCAAAAGGCTCATTCACCAGAGATGCAAATTGTGACTGGGGCAATCAGGATTTACTCCTAGTGAATTCACAGGAGACCATGCCCTTGGTTTTGAAGCCACTTCAGAGTGGTTCATCACTTATGGACATTTGAACACTTCAACAGACCAGATAATGGGAGTGCTGTCATCCAAAGTCAGTGTATGGTAATACTTGGTTATAGGGTCTCCGACCTTGACTATGTTGTCGCTGATGTTAATTTGTCTGACCCTATGGCTCTTGGTTCATTTGGATTTAGCATGTTCCTTAACCAAAAAACAAGGACTATACAGAACTTTAATGGTTTGATATAAGAAACTACTTGGTCAATACCTGCTTGTAATATGGATATTGAAGCCATACACAGCTTTTGCAGTTCATAAATCTGATGGTTGGACCAAAGGCTAACATATATTTTGGCCTGGCAGCAGGTCATGACCTCATCAAGAGTATCTGTTATCTTTGCAAAAGGACCAAGTTATGCAAACTCTAGCTCTTGATATTTCCAGTTTTACTGTACAGCAGTGAAACACAAAGTCAAGTCCTGACACCTTTTTGGCTTCTGTGGTACAGTTGAAAGGACAATATGGCAAATCAATGGCTACACTGAGATTAGCCTAGGACTTGTCACCCTCACAATGCAGGACAAATAACTCAGGCTATATGAACACTTGGTTCAATTTCCTGATGATGTCCCCTGGTTGTCATCTTAAAAAAAAAAAAAAAAAAAAAAAAAAAAAAAAAAAAAAAAAAATCTGGGTGGAGGAGCCTGTTGCACAACTTGAAAGTCATGGCTTGAAATAATCAATCAAACCTGCTACAGGCATACAAATACACTACATGCATAACACTTACACATATTCACTCACTTATAGGTCTATATTGTAATTACTAACAAAACTAAGTCCTAATTACCGATCTATTGAACATGATGCGTGCGTGCTTCTCGTCCCAACCAAACTTTCTTATGGCAATGGCTGTCTCCCTCTTCAATTCTTTAACTAACTCATCCATTTCTGGTTTCATATTTTCTACTTTGGCCAATATGTAATTCTGAAAAAAGGATTAAGTAGGAATGGTTAATGTGAAAAAAATTTTCTTTGTTTTTAAATGCAAAATAATAGATAAACATTAAAATTAAACAATTTCCTTAAATAATATTCAATACTATTTTTGACAAATTTAAACTTGAAATTAATTACAACTGTAGATTGGAAGAAGTATTCTTTGCTGTCTTACAACAATATACTTCTTGTAAGCTATTGGTTACATGAACTGATAGAAAAATAACATTACAACAACAAATAAAAGAGAAAATATAATTTTTACATTACAGAAAAAAATAAACCAAATCTAACAATATCTAAATAAGTCTTAAAAACATTCTATACATACTAAACAAAAAAGCCCCCCCTACTAAAAAAAACTTGCCTGGTACACTGCAAGAGGGAATGTTAATACCCCCCTCATCAGTATGGTAGAGACAATGATGGCTCCCCACCATGGTAAGTTCAAAGAGTCATGTATTCCCTGCAGCCCCCCCATTAAGCTCTCGACCAGTCTGGATTCTGCTAGGGCCCTAAACCAGCCTGCTTGAGTAATGGCCAAGTTGTCGAGCCAAGACATTGAAAAGTTCCGTTTATCAATGTTGTTTCCAAGAAGGAAGTTTGAGGAACTCAATAGAGGCATGGGATTTCCTTGCCTGTATCTGCTGTTTGATATGCTGTGATAGAAACAGCATTGAACCATTTGGAATTTCTTCTGTAACACTTGTCTTTGGTCTTCTGGGATATTACAACTAAATGCAAACTGCGACAGAGGCAGAACATTTTTTCTTGTTCCTTCCTGTAACTTTGGTGTCTTAGATATGACAAACCCGCTGAGACTTCTTGCTGAATTCTTTGTTAGTAAAGACTTCCTCAGAAGAGTGTAGGTCTTTAAAGGCCTGATGCTGAAGTGGTTGCAAGTTTGAAGCATCCCCATTGTTCTAGTAAGCATACCTGAAACAGTCACATATATGTCAATATGCATTGAAATACAATTTTTTTTTTTTTTTTTTTTTTCTGGAGAGTAAAGGAAGTAGTAATTTCTTTAACTGAGATATTTTCCATATATTTATTTAATACTAAACTTTTAAAATAAATGTTATTCTATCTACATATAATTTCAAAATGTTTCTCATGTGCTTATAGTTTTGATGCTGCTTTTTGAAATGTTTCAGCATAATAAGCTGTCATTCTATTCATATGTTTCAGAAAGGAAAATGCAGAACTGCATAAAAAGAAATGAAAATGATGAATCAATGACAACAAGACTATTACTACTACTAATAACAATAACAATGATAATGATAATAATAATATAAAACATAAGCCTAATAAAAATAACTATTTTCAATGTGAAGATAATAATAATTATAATTATCATTATCATTATGACAAAAACCTCACTAACAACAGTAAGAATGACAATGACTGTCAAAACATGCAAAAAATGCACTGATAACATGATGCTGTACCAATATAATTGTTATTGATATTGTCAGTATAGTTGCTTTATAATAGCAAAACTATACTAACTGGACAGTATACTTACTAATTCTTTACAAAGTGAATAAGAGAAAAGTCCCAAACTCCATGTCATATATATATATATTTTTTTTTTAACAATCAAAGGCCTCAATTATTTTATTCCTTGGTTTATAGATTTTATTTCTGAAAACCTCTGACGGGCAGTATCCCCCCCAAAATTTTAAAATTGTGGTTTGATTTTTTTTAATGGTTTATTAATTTCTGGAAACATTACAAAATAAATTAAATACTGAAATACTGATGACAAAACATCTGGAATCAGTATGAATCATGTGGCTACAGACAGGAATGATCTCCTTTGGCAGAACCAGTGACATATTGTGCTTGAGACAAACAGCAGATACCATCAGTTGTAGAGGTTTCTATAGGTTAAATCTACAGACCTGGACTCCAGCACCTTCATATGTATTTGGAACCATGTACATATCACTGGGAAGCGAATGGAGATGAGGTTATCATTTTTTGTTATATCTGCATCTGCAGGAAAAGAATAAAGTAGATTTCTCAATTATCAGAAATTGGGAAAAACAAGTGTGGTGGATCTGTAAATCAAGTGATTTTTTCTTGTACCAATTATTGCAACTTTTTGTTCTCTATAAGGATATAATTTTCAATTTTCCCTGGCTTAGTGTGTTCATACCATGAAGATTAAACGTATACATAAAATACATTAATCACAAATTTAGTTTCACAGAAAAGAGTTGCAATTTAACTCTTGCATGATATCTATAAGGTCAGAGGATGGAAGCCACATCTAGAAAACATTGTAGAAATGATAGTATCATTTCAGTTTCACACAGTCTTATGGCGCAAAGTAAACTTTGTTTGTAATAAGAAGAATGACTGACTGGTATTTCCTTCACAAGGTGTGCAACATGTTATACTTTGGTATGCATTTATAGCAAAATCTAATGACAGTATCATAAAAAAAGGAAAAACTACACTCCAAGGCAAATGATGATGTAATTTTTTTTTCAGTTTATAAATCAATGTTTGTGTTTATATCATTTACAATGGAAAATAACAAAAGGTTCACACATATTACAATGTAAATAACTGAAACATGGAATAATTACAGCAAGGAGAGATGGCTGTGTGAAACAAAAAATTACTTAAATGAGACAGCAGGCAGTGGTGCCAGATTAGAAAGTTTACAAAATATGTGGCTGATGACAATTCTCATTCTTAAAAATGTGCATCTGGAAGATATCAGTGTGCAGGTACATATATAAACTTCCACAAATTTCATACATAAACTTTGTGTACTGGTCATTCTACTTTGTATTCCCATAAAGTTTAAAACATGTCATATTTGTTGCAATTTTTCACATCTTTATTTAAACAAACTGCAGGGGTGCTTCCACAATTTTTGTATTCCATAATTTTTGTATAGCCTTTGTATTCACATTTGCACGGTGCCTCCCTATTAAGGAGATCTCTGCCGTGTAGTACAAAATTACCAATTAGGCAGTAGTGAAGCTATAATCTATAAATTAATGGGGATAAAGTTATATTCTTGTGAAACTGATGGGACATTAGTTAATCCCTCTTTCATAATACAAGACCACAATATCAGAATCTAGCAGTTGATTTATATCCAAACCACACATTGATCAAGGTAATTTTACATGATAGTTCCACCTAATGGATTGTGACGAGTTTGTTATCTATGGATTCCTCTCACTCACTGCTATCCAAATATATAGAAATTTTTGAGCAGAAACTCCCTTCATTGGAAACAATCTTGCACCAGATAGCAAGGGAGGCAGCCCCTACAGGTGGGTCACATGTCACCATGTGGAAGCGGTGTTGCGAAGTCTGTTCGATGCTCCCTCCTGCTGTGAATACATAGAGGATTCTTTGTTTTCCTGGGCGGGTGTTGGGGGTGCCAACGCATCCTGATAGGTGGACTATTCTGGATGGAAGAGAATCCATCATCTCTATTCTGAAACTATTCTGTAAAATTACCATCATTCATGAACCTAAAATTCAATACCTATAAAATTGCAAATTTTAAAATCCTTTCCTGCTAGTGGTACAGTCTGGGACTCGTCCTTGGAAAGGTTTTGCGTGTTTTGTTTATTGCCAAGAGATGGCGCTGCAATCGCTGTGTAGTAAAGGTGCCAATTCCTGAATGGAGCAGTTGACGGGCAACGACATTCTCATCCACTTCGAACAGCAATAGATAACGAGCGTTGTTGTTGTAAACTCTGTTTGTCTCATGAGTGAAATGAATGGAACAGGGAATATTAGGCCTACATTTTTTCATGTGCAAAAAACATCATTTTGTCTACATTTGCGCGGACCGATCTGCAGACAGATGATAAAACGAGTGAGCAGAAAGGCCAAAAGAATTTTATGTGCAGAAAATAATTTAAAACAGAAGTGTGCGCGGAAAGTCACCCGAGAACTATATTTGCACGGACAGAATTTGACCAAACTCTACAGTCTGGAACTGCACTAGATGAGTGGGAGTTCATTGATGCCCTCATATTTTCCTTGATCTCGTTGATTCAAACACAAGTTTGAGGCAATGTAAATAATCAATACAACCCAACTCTAGCCTAACCCAACTCTGGCCTCCCTCCCTCCTCCAGTCAGGAATCCGCGTATATATTCTTTGGCTCCTTCACTAGCAAGCGCCATCTCTGGCCAATAAACAAAACACGCAAAACCTTTCCCGAGGACTACAATTCCAGACTGTAAACAAACTGCTCTGCGTATATGATTACTGTACACTATCATAACACTTTCGCTTGTCAAAGTGTTTTCTACAAGTTGCAATATTGTTATATCTTAAACCCTTAAAGAATCACCCGTCTTTCAAACTAACCTTACCAGAATCATAGATAAAGTGAATATCTCTTTCATAACCCGGTGCCTTTTGCGCCGAGGGATTTGTTTACATGTGTGACGTCAGATTGTTGCCTGTGTCGTTCTGCAATCCCACTACAACGTTTTCTGGGAACTCCACACAACCAAGTTGTAATTCTTGATGGGAAAGGCTAGATCAGTAGCAACTCGAGGATGACGTTAGATTTTAAGGACGTAACAAAAGTTGCGATTCTGTTTATGGAAAAAAGCGTATAGGGTTTACTTTGATGCTGGCGGCACCCACGAACTGGCCGGGCAGCCTGGAAGTTAATTGTAAGTGTATTCAATTTTGCTAAGAATAGATTCAAATTAGAAGTAATATGAACTGTAGGATCTTGCTTGGTGATTACTCGGACTGCCATGACGTGAAGATGGTGCAACGTAGCTTCCTCACCTAAAATGTGAGGATGGATTTTATGAGAATGCAAGACCCGTGTCTGCCCTTGTGCGTGGCCGGAGCGTTTGATTTCACTGGAGTTAATGATAGAGGTGGAATTCAGGAGAACCGCAATAAGGTATCCTCAATCTAGGGAGTCGTAAATAACACATTTAATGAATTAAAAACCTTCAAATCCCGTCCTTTCCCTTGTGGGTAGGAGGGGGTACCATCCTCGAGAACGGCAGTGGCTGGGAAGCAGCCTCTCCTCATCAAAAGCCACGAAATCTAGCGTTATGAATACAACAGAGCGGGTCCTCAGTCTATTTTATTATTATTATTATCAGTCGAACGGTATTATGTTTTGTAGTTTTTAGTGCTTATGCATTCATTTTTTTTTTTTTTTTGTTCAAAAGCGGGTTAATTAAAGAATCTTAATGAATCAGGTGTTTGTATACTTGTGGTTCGGTGTTTGCGGCCACAGTCGTTTCTCTCTCTATTTGTCTGTGTCCTAGAACATGTAAACGGGTATTTTTTGTGATGACTGGAAAACTCCTTGAAACACGATGGGTATACGGTGAATTTCTGAGCGGAATATGTATATCGTGATTGATAAACCGTGTTTCAAGGCATGCAGTTTAGGGTTTGTACTGGAGTGGGTATAGCTTTGTGAATATGGTTGATGGTGGGAGTATTGTGCTGATGGATGGATTGGTGCCCAATGTGGATGGATTTGGGGGCAGTGTAGATGGATTGGGAGACCATGTGGTTGGATTGGGAGCCGATGTAGATGGATTAGGACCCAATGTGGATGGATTGAGGGCAATGTGGATGGATTGGTGTCCGATAATGATGGGTTGGGGTAATGTAGATGTATTGGGAGCCGATGTGGATGGATTGGGGGCAATGTAGATGGAATGGGGCCTGATGTAGAGGGATTGGAGTTGTAAATAGATGGATTGGAGGCCGGTGTTGGTGGAATGGGGTGCGATGTTGATGGATTGGGGCCCGATATATATGGATTGGGATCCGATGTGGATGGATTGGGAGCCGAAGTGGATGGATCGGGGGCAATGTGAATGGATTGGGAGCCGATGTAGATGGATTAGGGTCCGATGTAGATAGATTTTGGGTCCGATGTGAATGAATTAGTGCCCGATGTAGATGAATTGGGAGCTGACTTGAATGGATTGGGAGTCGTTGTAGATGAATTAGGAGCCGATGTGGATAGATTGGGGCTCGATGCAGATGGATTGGGAGCCAATGTGGATGGATTGGGGTCCGATGTAGGTGAATTGGGGGCTTATGTGGATGATCGTGGTGTGTTGGTTTGTTATTGTTTCGTATGCGCGTTTTCTCCTGTTCAAGTCGGCGTTTTTATTCGAACATTAACTTCCGTGCAAAGCAGGACCCGTTAACGACGATGTGAGAGCTGCTATTGCAACTTTTAGTGTCTGTTATACAAGGCGCACAGTGACAGAAGCGTAATTTGTATGTGTGTTTGTAGTAACCATAGCGATAACATTTGAATCACGGGTCGGCTTGAATGTAGCAGTCAGGCACCAGGTTAAAAAGGGGACGTAGTTAAACAAATCCTCGCTATTCGGAAGCTTCAGAGTCTCCTCAGGGTCGGCGGGGCAGCTAATCGTAATGATCAGTTTCTCCTCAGGTTTGTAAACGTCAGCGACATTTACTTCGGTTTTAGCAGACAGCTCCCGGCGAATGCCATCCCTTGGTAGTGGCTTACGCTTTCATCTCCGAGGGATTAGCACCAAAGCCGTGATATTTTAGTGCATCTGGCAATCACGGTGAGTCGGGTGTTCATGTTTATTGACCACTATCCTAATCCTTCTATGAATCTTTATACAGTTAGTCATAGCAATCTCAGAGATCATGAATACCGTCTGGAGAGTCAGCTCACGATCCAAGGGCGGTTGGGTCACAGCGTGAGGCGATGACAAGGGGACAAGGCATGACGTTTAACAAGTGCCAATCTTATGATAGGATGTGGATACGGCGTCAATGGTACAATATCGGAAGGCCTGTAGGTAAACCGTTTTTCTCTGTGTTAGGATTAGACATAGATTAACTTACACGTGTCGGACACGTCAATAAAATCGTCTTGTTTAGCCGGTGCTCTGACAATAATAGCGGGCTATCTATGCTAGCAACTAAACACCAACCGCGAGACAAAATGCGTGCGATAACAACCAGGATTACCGACACCTTGCCCAGACCAAGGTCTATATAAGTACTTATATAGACCTTGGCCCAGACGTGCATCGATGGCCAAAGATATATTTAGATGATCGATGGGTGTCAAACGTCTATACGAAAACCAGCAATGAAACCTTGGAACGTAAACTCCAATATGAGAAGCCAACAAGGTCTGCAGGCCAGACAGATACAAATGAATGGAGGAAAGGGGAGCGGGTAGAGAGTTCTGCTCACAGAGATGACGCTGGTAAAGGAAATAAATGGAAAATAAAATTATGGGAGTGATAAAAGGAGGGGAGACATTCGCTGCACGACAAATAAATAAGGCAGTTCTTGGCGGGGGCAAGCTTAGGGACTGAAAGCAGGGAACGGAGGGTAGACAACAGGACTGGAATCAACTTGACGTATCTTACAAAAAAATAAAGCAGAGCAGAAAAAAAAAACATTGAAAAAGACACTGGGCAAGAAAAATGCAAATGAACGGGTGATAAAGGGGAAAAGGACAGGCAAGGGGAAGAAGAATTATGGGGGAAAGACGAGTGATAGGTGATGGTGTGGTGGAGAAAAGTATAGAATAACTAAACTATGTAAAAGACGGTTAGCGTGGTTGACTGGTCGCCTGTTGGGTGCTGTTTCATCTTGTCACAACTCAGGCTGACTGGGTGAAGTGGGACGTGGGATCAAATGGATAGTCTGGCAGGTGGTTTTGGCGAAATTGACGATCAAACGAGTATACAAATCCAAACACGGGGAAGCAATTAAGAACTTGCAGCACAAATTGAACAAAGCGTTAAAGGTAGGGATGCAGTTCATAGATAAAAGAGATAAGTGTTGAAAGTGTGTAGAACATTAAGAACGTGATATTGAGAAGAAAGTAATTATGAGGTTTGTCTAATTAATTAGGAAAGTCCATTACAAACGTAAGCCTATCTTCAGTTTCTATATTTTAATTATTTTATTTTCTTCCTTTTTTGCAGATGCATCTCCATCCTGCTTGTTCCCTGATTAGTATGTATGCCTTGTATAATCCCATAATCACAGGCAAGCAAGTCAGAAGGAACGGAATTCAATAAAAACACACCGCACAGTCGCCTTAAACGAGTCAAAGGCTGCTCTGACACAATGCTGCGGCTCTGAGGTGAGGCGTAGCTTCAAGGTTTAGAAGTGTCCTGTGTCACCGGCAGATGGCAAAAAAAAGAAAAACAATACTGAGGACGCGCGCAAGTAAGCCCCTCGTGCTTCTCATCTTTGTTCCGTTTATCATAATTTGAAGGCGCACGCACGCACGCACGCACGCACCCACCCACCCACACCACACACACACACACACACACACACACACACACACACCACACACACACACACACACACACACACACACACACACACACACACACAGATGAGACTGGATTAGACATAAAAAGGCTTTCCTGAACAAGAATGGGGAAGTCATCTTTAAGATCTGCCTTTTCAAATATTTGACAGAACAAATATTCACGCCGCATAAATAGAAAACAATAGATAGTTTATTTCTGAACATATCAATTTATTAATTTCCATGTTTAACGAGCAATTCTGAATATGATGTTATTTGCTGTCACTATTTTCATCGTTATTCTAGTTATTGTTTCTATTTTCATTATTGCCATTGCTATTATCATACCTAACAGTGTTCCCTTTGTTGATTACTATTTCAAATATATTACGATCGTTATTATACAGT